ATCGATCGCAATCCCACGTAAGGTATGCGACCAAGTACTGATGAAATATTAATACAATGACCATGACCGCTTTGATCATCTTGGAAATGTTTGATGGCTATTTGCATTCCGTATAAGGCAGATTTTACGTTAGCAGCAATTATCTTATCAACATCGTCATCTGTTAACTGCAAAACGGGGCGGATAATTCCGAGACCAACGTTGTTAACCCAAACGTTGACATGACCAAATGCAATTTTTGCTTGAGTCAATATATATTCAACTTCATTTCGTTTCGTGATATCTGCTTTCACAATTAATGATTTACAATTGGGAAGACAAGATTCAGCAACTTTTTGTAATTCTTCTTCACGTCGAGCAACAAGTACAAGCGCAAATTTACCTTTATCGAACTTGGACAAATATTTTGCAAGACCGGCGCCGATTCCAGAAGAAGCTCCCGTTATTACGACAACTTTTGAGGATGATGGGAATGCCATATTATTTTAAAAGAATCTATAAACTGCAAGACACGTTAACTAGTCTCTACTGTACTATACAAAATCCTACTCTATATTACTACCAACTTCAAATTAAAAAGTACACCACCGATTGTTGAGTAAAGTTCGAGAGAAAGAAGATAGACATCTGACTTTCGTCTTTAGATAGTGAAAACTGAGAAATGTGATTGTCCGAAGCGTCTTTTCAAGATTCCTCGTGAATCTATTTTGATGAAATTTTTGAAAAACCAGATCGATATTCTGAAAGCTATCATAGAAATATTTTCGGTTTTTCTCATGGACAGATGGCCCAAAGTCTTTTTAAAAATGAGGATGATCCAGACTTTTCATGTCTCATGGTTTGTGCGGTATCAGATTTTCCAGGATTGCTAAGGCTTCTCTTCTCTGATTCCTCGTGGTATGTATATCATACGTCGACTAATTTTTGTCGACTAGCATTTTTGTCGACAAGAGATTTTGTCGACGAATATTTTGTTGAGAAATATGCGTGAAAAAATTACTAATGCTCAAGAGCACCAATTTATACGTTGATTTTATTGAGCAGATAGAAGAGAAAATAACAGCTAGAGTAATTATAAAGACAACAGGGATGACTAGCAGACTAACAAGATAGCAAAGTGAGGGTGAGAGGTGAGAGTGAGTTGTCGAGGAAAAGCAGCCGACAAACATATGTCGACGAAATAAATTCGACAAAATATCTGCCGACAAAAAGGAAATTAGTCGACAAACTATCTGTTCGTCGAATGATATGCAATTCTTCCTGATAACCTTAAAAACTGACGGATCATAAGTCAGAGTTGTAACCGGTCTAAAAATAAGAGGCCGATCCAAAAATCGGTTTAGTCCGGTGAAAAAACGGCAGAAAGCCGGCTGGTTTTCAGAGATTTTCTAGACGGACAAGAGGGTAGAAAAACTCACTTTTTTTAGTGAAGAGAAAAACTCTAAGAATTTCAAAACCGGTCAATCACCGGTCGGTTTGAAAATGTTTCTAGACCGGCAAAAGACCGGCAAAAGACCGGTGGAGACCGGCCGGTCTAAACTTTTGCACCGGAACGGACCGGCACCGACCTGGTTACTACTCTGTCATAAGTTATCGGCTATGCTGAGTCTCACGGTGATAGCGTGTACTTGCTTCAGTTTTTTCTTGTTCCTTTTAAAATTTTCTCGCATTTTCCTAAACCTCAGAGCAACGTTTGTGCGATGCATTGAATATATGAGAGAAAAACAATAAAATGATGAAAAGTTCAGTTTCCCAATTAAATCTTGAATAAAGTACATTCCACGAAGAACGACGTTTGACGTTACTGGAAAACAATGAAAAAACATTTCGTAGCTTTCTGCGAAATATTTGATGCGCTCTCTCAATAAACTGGATCTCTGCTGCTGGTTTTTCTTGTCGCAGCAATGCTCGTGACAATGTTTGTTTTTCTTAAAAGGGTCAGAAACTTAGTGAAAATTTATATTAGGTGAGATAACTGTTCGGCTGCTCTCACAAAAATTTCATAAGTCAGCCAACGTTGATTCATACTACTTGAAATATCTAGCTCTATTTTATTTGTGCTATACTATAGAATCTGACAAAACATCTTAGTTTTTGAATTGATTTTCTAAAAATCTTTTACATGAGAGAGATTTTTTACTAATCTTAAGTTCAGAATCAGATTACCAAGATAAAGAACTGGATATTTTGAGACGTTTGAATCAATTTTGGCTAAGTTATGAATTTTCGGTGAAAATAACCAAAAATTAGTTATTTCAACGTTTTTACTAGGTTTGTAACGTTTTTTAGAGAAACAAACATTGGCAAAAGACTTTTAGTTTGAAATGGATAGTAGGGATACTGATAATAATAAGTTCATCCGTTTTAAATACATTAAAGGAATACAATCCATATATTTCTTAGAAAAACAAGACGACCATTTAGGTCAAGAAAAATAAAATCTATTATTGACAAAAGACTATATCAAAAAAAAATAATGTTCAATACAAAAATGAAAATACATAGATGAAACATTTATCCAAAGAATGAGAAAGACATCGCTAGCTTGAAAATGAGAGTTTCTAATTATTTTTGTTATCTACAAAGGTTTTGTGACGGTGGAACGGACGGTATATGTCCTAATTCAAATTTATCACTTTCGAATGCATTCAAATCTTCTGGTCGTAATTGATTTCTTGGTGTATAATACGACATGGAGATTGTTTCTTGTTGCTGGGTCGGTTTATATCTACATATGTAAGCCTCGATCAATGGCTTCTACAAAAAAGAGAATGAACTCATATAACAATTGTGAACAATAAATGATAATTAAACATACAATTTCGTTCAGAAACATTTCATCTAATCGAGATAATTGCAAGAGGCGTTTTTCGGCGTCTTCCCAATGTTTTCTATAATAATCTTTCTAAAAGGAAAAAATAACAAAAAAGTTTGTTTAACTTCTAGTCATAATATTCTTTTTATCATAGTCTTTTACAAAAAAATATATAGTACCAACGAGATAACCGACAAGAAATTCTCCTTGTAATATATGGCTCACACGACAATTTTCATTAATTACTCAAGAAAATAGTATGCAACTGACTGCAGAGAGAAATACATTCGAAAGGCATGTGACTTACATAGATATGTGTTTGATCTTGGGGACAACTTAAATATCCCCATCTAACTTCTTCAAATGATTGATCAATCATTCCTAGAATGAAATAATTAAGAGTTTAGATTAAGTGTTTCTTTGAAAGAATAGAAGATTTCTTACCAGGTATAGATGGTTCACCTGGATGCAAAGATGTTGTCGAGAAACGCCAGAATGCATGCGATTGGTACGCTTCTCTTCGAAGTTTAGATCTATAAATAGCAGTACATAATAATTACGATAGGGACAACCGTAAAGGTCCACTAACGTACAATATTTCTAGAACTTTTTCTTTTTCAGTAAAATTTCTGTTAATCCACGAAAAGACATGTTCTGGAAGTTTTTGACCTAAAAAAGAAACAATATCGATTAGTTGTTTGGATTCATTTTCATTTATTTTTAAGATATTCACTTATGGAAAACAGTCACAAGCAAAGAGTTAGCTTTAATAGATATACTGTTACCAATAATAAAAAAGACAAGTAGAGAAAAAAATAAAAGATAGCAAGAAAAAGAGAAAGGAAAAAAAATGAAATACATTTTCTATGTTCTAGATACAAGAGATACTAATAAAAAGTTACATGATCTTTAAATAATCTTCTAAAGGCAAGAGAATTATTTGTATGTGCAAGAACTGTTGGGAAAGAATAGCAGTCTTTTGATGTGGTGGAAACAACAGAATATGAGCCTGACTTTGATTTGTATCTTTTTATATAAATCTACCTATCATGCTCTAAGCGCTGACACTAGCGAAAAACCGCAGAGCTAAGGGTATTTAAGTTTGAGAGCTTATAAAACATTTGATAAAACGAGAGACGAAAATAGTTTCTTGTATTGATCAGCAGGCGATCATAGCTGCCTTCATTTAGAGGATTATAAATGAGAGAATAAAGAAGAGCATCAGTTATGCTTGATTTTGGACTGAAACTGAATTGTTTGAGAAAATATTTGTATCCTGAAGAAATTCTGTTCGTTTTAAATGAAAAACTTTTTCAAAAACTTTAGTGATGTCTGAAAGAAGAGAAATCGGACGATAATTGTGAACTGAAAATTTGCTTTTTGTTTTGTGTACGGATTAATGAAAGTCCGTTTCCAGATGTTCGGAAAAAACTCCAGTTGTCCAAAGATACAGGAAAGACATGGAACAGTTGTGGAGAAATGATGTCACCGCCCATTTTCAGACAGCGAACAGAATTCGGTCATATTTGTCCGAATATAAACACCATTTATTAAATAGAGAGTACTAAACTTCTAAAGTTTACAAATATTGTTATTATACATTTACTTAAGTCGTCAAAGTTACCTTCTCTATTAGTTTGTACTGAGTCTATATCCATACCATCTATATTGGATGATGAATATTGATTTTGATTAGTAGATTGATGCGGTTGTTGTAAAGGATAAATATGATTTTGAATAGGCGGTTGTTGATGGTGATTGGTCGAAGGATAACCCTTTGTCTAACAATAGGAATAAAATATTTGCTTTAAACAGATATATATTTTTATATATAAATACAGTCAAAATCGAAAGAGAAGAAATACGCTTAGGTGCCATAATAGATAATAGTAGACTGTTAGAGAAAAAATGTTTTTCCAATACAAAAACGAATAATATACGTTTCCAATACAAAACAAAATAAATAAATTTGTTAACTGTGATCTGAAATGTTGGATATTCGTTTGTGATGATAGCAGAATTATAACATCTGAGCCGTTTCAAAGGTCCTGTTGTGTATAATCAGATGACCATTTACTAACTTACAAGTGCGGGCGAAACATAATTGTATCGTGGTTCAAACCGTGGACGTCGAATTTGTTGATCTAAATATAAATACAAAACTATATTGACTTGTTTTCAGGTTCTATTCAATCTGCCTGTAAAGACGTTCAAAACATAAAATCTTCTGAAAATGTCTAAAATTATGTAAAATATTTACATATTCTTACCATATAGTTGAGGTTGAATAGGATCTGAATGACTCTTCCGACAGCGGTCACCGAATTTGCATTGTTCTGATAGAAAATATCGGCATGGTTGATCCATTCGGAGAGACTTTCTTATCTAAAACAGGATATTCCCAGATTGATACAAAATATTAGAACTACTTGATCACCGCAGCACGATTCATTTTCTATAAAGATAATGCACGAGATCCTTCTTTTCACCAGTGTTTCTAATAGCAAAGAGTACTCACGCTTCGGAATATAAAAATACGCTGTTTTTTTGCAAAAGCAGAGCGCTTTGCTATCGCTGTTTACGCTTTGTTTTCTAATAGAACTGTTTTATATTTATATTTAAGAGAAAATAAGAAAAACTTTTTTAACTGTCTTTAAGTGAGTAGTCAGATAGGAAAAGAGACCTTTTTCTTATTATCAGTGATGTTTTTCTTTAGTTGTAATTGTCTGTGTCTGCAAAATTGCTTTCTAGGAAAAAAGCCTTTATAAAGAAAGTTTCTATTTTCTCCTCTAATTTCTGATAACTAACTGATGCTTTCTTTTTCAGATTTAAAACATGTACGTTTTGTGAATAACAGAGCGTATGCATACGCTTTGGTTGGAAAAATTCTGTTGGAAACACTGCTTTTCACAGCAAGAATAAGCGAGTATAATGTACAGACAAGAAAGGCAACGTTGTAAGAAGTTACCTGCCAATAGTACTTGCCAAAAATGGCGGGTAGGTGCAATTTGCGTCTCGATCTAGCGCCTGCGTCTCAGCGTCTGAATACAATTGGCTGTTATAAAAATGAGTAATTATTACATATAACATAAATTATTCTTTATTTTAATTAAAAAGAAGTTATCCTACAGGGACATAAAAATAAATAGGTCAGAAATGAAACTAAAGATGTCGCTGTAAATCACCGAAGGGATTATCCTGCGCTATAAGCTTTGTGTCCTATTATACAAGTTTCACTTTTATCGTTCCAGGCTGTTTTAGGGCTTTTGCGAAAAATTCAATAACTTTTGAAGGAAGTAAGTTGAGGTCAAGAAATTTTGGGAATCTTCCTAAATAAGTTGGCTATATACTGTGAAAGTTTGGTTGGAAAAACCGAATATCAATTAAGCAATTTAGGTCGTCCCTACTCTGCAACGGCTCTTATATATACTTTTGGTAGAGAGGTGGATGCAATATGGCTTTTAGTGATCATTCAAAAAATGTATCTTAGAATATATAAGTATGTTTGTTCTTTCTTTTTTGTGGTATCTAAGCACATTTATATCTTTCTGTTCTTTGTCTGTATCGTATCTAGGTATATGTATCTTTCTTTTTTATTTCATTGAATTCATTGAACTGTCAACAAAGAAAAAAAGTGGAAAAATAAAAAAACGAACATATGAAACAAGTTCAGGACAAGTTTTAAGAAAAATTTTTCAGATGAACTGTTCTGCACACACATGTTGTAAAAAGAAAAAATGACAAGAATAAAAGACTATTAAAAAAGTATTATTTTCCTTGTAGAAAAAAAGGTTGGTAAAAAACATGTGGTAGCATGTGACACTGTTGAACAGTTGTTGACTGTTGCTGCTTTAAATGTTTGTGGGAAGGATGATGACTGCTTACTGGGTAATGACGGTAGTAATGGTGTCGATGAGATGATTGATGATGGAATTGTTGTTGGTGTTTGTACATATACCAAATTAGTAATCGGTTGTAAGATGTTTCTTGTTGTCATTGTTGTAGTAGTACAGGATAATGATGATGCAGTGTTAGTGCTACTGGAAGAAGTTTTTGCTAGTAATAGCCGCTCATATATTTTGTTTGCAGCTTTGTCAATTCTTCGGGGTACTTTACCTCCGGGTGTTCCTTCCTAAAACATACGCGAATTATATTATATAACAGCCACCTTACTTTTATCAGATAAAACATAAAGAGACTAATCGTACCGGACAAAAAAATGACTCACTTTCGCTTCTTTTATCGTTCGTTTACGATCAGCACCCGCATTCACCTTGTTATCACCATGTTTCACCGGCATATTGAGATACACCTTTACCGCCAGAATCTGGAACACACATAAAGACACAAATTAATGAAAGATGAGGTAGAATACCGAAACAACTTCACTTACGTGTGAACAACATTGTGAAGTGTTCAAACACGAACATTTGAATAAAAGTTTAGGATCTCTCATATGAATCTAGAAAAGAATGCACCGAGCTCTTATTAATATAGGAAAAAAAGACTGAATAAATCATGCAAGGAAAGACGATGAAATAAATAATAACTCACCACGTAAACATTTTTTAAATCAAGAGATTCGACTATAAAAACTTTCTTGTCACCATCAAATTTCACACAATCCTGATCGACCATTAGAGCCGATCTAATGCCTGTTGTCAATGTTTTTCGGACAACAGTGGATATTGTTGTTGAAGTTGATGATGGTCGATTGTTCAGATTATCCGCTAATAATAGCGACTGATTTGAGTCTTCATTCTCGTCTGTATCGAGAAATGCTGTTGGGGCTGCTAATGAGTTAACGGATGGTGAAGGTGAATCTTCAATGAATTTTTTCATTTTTTGTAGTATACCGTCGGAGTTATCTGATTTCACAAGAGATAATAATGAGGGACTACATCGATGTTTTTGTGATTCTATTGTCAAATGGAAGTTTCCTACAAGAAACAAAAGAGTTATATTGTGATAGTAGAATCAAGAGACAAATACATACCAGTATCACATATGCCACGCATTATTTCGTTACAATAGTACCCAATAAATAAGTATAACATTTGCACAAACTGATCTACGGTCAGTTGTTTCCATCTAATCCATCTTTTAACAACAGCATTCACGCTTTCAACCGGATTGTTTGTCACTCCTGACATCTCATTAAACAAATTATACGGTCTACTGGCCCAACCACCTAAAGAAAAAACGTAACTAGAAATGCGACCAGAAAAAATCAGATGCAACGGCACAACTCGACTTGTGTAGTGTGGGACGGTAAGCAGTTCGTTCGACAAAAGGCACCAGAAAGTAAAAAGGAAACAAAAGCCCTCACCGAAATAGTCGATGTGCGGCAAATGCCACGTTTCCCAGTAATTGACGAATTTTGGTGACCATGTTTTTTTTCTTTTTTCATATTCATTCATAAATTGCATTTTTGATGAGCTTCTTAATAAATTGAATATATCATCCAGATGTTGCTTGACAAATGTATCTTTTGCTTTTTTGTATAATTCATTGAGTGATTCATCATC